TAAACGGCTTCGCGTGTCGGGGTGGTTCTTCTCGGGGTGGATATTCTGCCCTCCTAGTTGTTCGGATACAACTCCAAGGAGGTCAAATTCTGATTTTGCCCTGGTCCGAAATCCGACTTCCTCCCGCTTAATCCCGCTCAATCCTGCGGAGTCCCGCTTGATCTCGTTGAATCGCGCTTGCTCCCGCTCGATCCGGCTTAATCCGAGGCCTTCTCCGGCGCAGCAGCCCCCCCGCAGGGCTCCATTCTCCTGAATCTCTCCAAGGGGTCGAATCCCGTGGGGTTGTTGACATCTGATCCTGACCCGTTTTCTGACAGCCCCTGGCTGGCGGCGCGCAAAAGGGGGTTGGGGGAGGTGGGGAAGGCTTCCTAGAATGTCGCTGCTTCTTAGAATGCGTGGCAGTTGCCCCCCTGACACCCGGGGGTGCGCCGGCTCCCTCGGATCACCCTGGGCCCAGGATCGGTGTATATGCCTTCTTGCGCAAGGCAGGAGGGCGTATACCCCGATCCTGGGCCCAGGGTGATCCTGGCCAGGATCGGTGTTGGTGTATAGTTGGTGCCTTCCTACCCCTGATCCTCTGGGTGCGCCGGCTCCCTCGCCGAGCCTCCCCTGCTCGACCTCCGCGGCGCCCCGGGGGCCCCCAGGCCGTGGGCGAGGCGCCGGGCCTGGGCTGCTGGGAGCCCCGGCGCGCGGCCAGGCTCGCCCGCGGGGGGGGGGGGAGGAGGAGGAGGAGGAGGAGGAGGAGGAGGAGGAGGAGGAGGAGGAGGAGGAGGAGGAGGAGGAGGAGGAGGAGGAGGAGGAGGAGGAGGAGAGGCGCCGCGCGTCGGTGTCGCTGCACCGATCCCCGCTGCCCGTCCCCGATCCCCTTCGAGGCCCCCACCAAATCACCACCGCAGTGGGGGAGGCGCCCCTCGAGACCCGAAGGGGACGGCCCGTATCCCCATCTAGGGGGCAGATCGGCCAGCGTGGCCCAGGCCACGCCGCTGGGGATGGGGATCGGTGGGACGATACTCGACGTGTGGGCCCAGGGGGGGAGGGGTCAGGGGAGTCGGTCGGGCGATCGCAAGCGTGGAGCAAGGGGGCGTGGATCAGCGACGGGTCCCGTTTCCATAGGAAATCGTTGATTCATTGGCTTACGCCGCACCGCCGACCCCTTGGGGTGGCAGCAAGAGTGAAAGACAGAATTCGCGGAACGCGCGCGCGATCGCTGGGCAATCTTGGGGTTTCGGCCTGTCCTTGTCCTGCGTAGCGTGTGGGGTTCAAGGGGGGGCCTTGTAGGGGATTGTTTTGAAGTTGTTCGTGGTCTTATGTGAGTTTCTTGGGGCCCTCACGGGGCCTGTCCCAGGCCTCCTTTTCCACCTCCTGGATAGGCTCGGGGATCGTTGAGACCCAGCTGGGGATGCGTCCGGCCAGAAGTTCGAGAGTGGAGCCAGCTGTGTCGACGAGGAGCTTCCTGAAGGCCCAGAGGGGGCGGAGAGCGCCCAAGAAATAGGAGTCTCATGCCTCGAGCCTCGATCCACCCCGTGTTCCTTCCTTTGCGAAGGGGTGGCACCTGCCAGGTAGGTCGATCCTCATCCCGGACTTTCGGCGGTGGTCCCCGGCACCGTAAACGGTTCCTGGAGGCCGAATTCGAGGAGATGCCTCGGGTGGTCGAAAGACCACTAACACCTGTGAGACATCGGCGGCGACGACGAAATCTTCTTTATTTTGTTTTCCTCCTCCTCTTCCTCCTCCTCCTCGTCCTTCTCCTCTTCTTCTTCTCGATCGAGGTAGATGCCCGCGGCATTTGACACACACACACACATATATAGATATTTATATATATATATATATATATATATATACACAGATGTGTGTGTGGCCTTCGGCCCATCCCGCCACCGTGCCTTGGTTGTCGGCCTGAGATCCTTGGTGCCGGGGCTGCGGGTTAGAAGTTACATGCCTCAAGTGATACTTGGGGATTATTTTGGGTTTCTTGAGGGCCTCTTGGGGGGCTTTTTGGGGGCCTCTTGGGCCTCTTGGGGGGCCTCTTGGGGGCCTCATGACTCATGAGCCCTGTTGGGCGCCTCTTGGGCCCCCCTGGGGCCGTTTTGGGGCGGAAGTCTCGGATTGTTGGTTCAGGCTCCCCCTCTTGGGCCCCTCTTTGGGCCGTCTTGGGGCACTCTTGGGTCGTCTTGGGAGCCTCTTGGGCCGTCTTGCCGCCCTCTTGGGCCGTTTCGAGCGCCTCTTGGGAGCCTCTTGGGCCGTTTTGGGGCGGTCTTGGGGGACTCTGGGGCCTTCTTCAACGCCGTGAAGGCCGAAAAGTCGTGTATGATCAAAATGTACGTTTCCCCATCGGATTTCGACGATTTTGGACTCTGGGGCGCCTCTTGGGGATGCTCTTGGAGGCTTCCTGGGCCGTCTGGGAGGCTTCTGGGGCCGTCTTGGGGCCATCCTGGGCGTCTTGGGCCGACCTTTGTGCGTCTCGGGGGCCTCTTGGGCCGTCGTTTGGGCTGCTTGGAACCCTCTGGGGCCTCGTGGGGCCTGATCAGACCTTTGACCCCCCCCACCCCCCTCCAAACTGGCCGGACCTGGCTCCCGGGGGAGGGGTTTGGGGAGGGGGAAGCATCTCACACGCCGTGACCCCAAGGGGTCGGCGGACTTGGACCACATTGCGCTTTGTTGGAGGCCCTCTTGAGGCGCATGAGCCCATCTTGGCCCGACAGTCCTCCAAATATTCCCACCGAGGCGCCAACCACATCTAAACATATCACTAACTCATGTTTTCAGATACAGTTTCTTGGAGCACTCTTGGGGGGATTTTGGATGTTTGGGGGCCGTCTTGGGCCCCTCCCGAGCCCCTTTTGGGGCTCTCTTGTACGATATCGGGCCCATCTTGAGCCCTCAGGGACCCATTGGACGCGAAACGGAGATGTAACAAACATCACTGATCCACATTCTGTAAATCACTTATGTTTGCCTCTCGGTTGCGTTCTTGGGAGGCTCCATTGCCATTACTTTGAGCCCCCCACTGGGCCTCCCTGAGGCATGTTGGAAGCAATCTTGGGGTACACTGCGCCACATTGGAGGCCATCTTGGGCTATCAGAGGCCTGATGGGAGCCATGTTGTGCCAAATTGGACGCTGCCATCGGTCGCGTCCCCCCTTCAGACCCCAGGGACGGGGGCAGCGGGAGAGGGGGAATCTCAAGCGGAGAGTGCCACAAGCTGCCTTGCTCACTTCCGCCCTGCCCTGCCGCCACAAAAGGTAGCGCCCGACACTCCGCAGAGGCAGAGGCCGCCAGCAGCGGGGCAGCGGAACCAACACGGACGCCAGCTGCGCAACGCTCGTGAGGCGCGCCGCGCATGCCAGGTGCGCCCAGGGGCCCAGGCGGGCCAGGCGCGCCCAGTCGCGCCAGCTGCGCCACTCTCGCCCCAGGTGCCGCAGGCCCGCGGCCCGTGCAGATGTGCGCAGAGGCGGCGCCAGCGCACGTGACAGCACACGTCCAGGCAGCACCGCCTCGGTCCTCGTCGGGCAACAGGCCCAACGCGGCGGCGGGGTAGCCAGCACGGTGTGTGGTGTGTGCGTGAGCGCGTGCACCGGCAAGCGGTTCGCAGCTGCTGCTGGTACGTGCAGTGGGGGAGCGCGCAGCGGAGAAATATGCTCACATTCCCATCTTGGGTTATCCGCTCATGGCCCAGATTGCGCCGAAACGTCAATTTTGTATTGCTTTTCCGACGATCGACTAAGGGAGGGGCTCTTGCTAATAGGTAATTCTGCTCAGAGACCCAGAATGGGGTTGGAAGAACTGTCGCAGTAAACGACCTACCCCATAGGGCTGGTGGAGTTGAATGTTCCCTTGATGTTCGACCTGGACGAAGGCGGTGGCAATGGATTACACCTTCTGTAACCTGGCTTCCAGATACACTCTGTCGGGCAGAGCAGGAAACTGCAACACGGTGGGTGAGGAAGAGCTACCGCACCATGCAAATCGGCAGTGCAGAAGGTCATTGAATGTACCCGTCAGTCGTTGAAAGTAGGAATTTATGGATTCCCAGATCGCAATCTGTTTCTAGAGCCTTCCTACTTCAAGAATCGATATGCTTTTGCTGTGTTTCGTGAGTTTCTGGGAGGGCCTGAACCCAACCTGATTGATCCGCCTTCCTACTTCATCTTTCTACCTACTATTTCTTCCGACCGACGTGTACTTTGGTCGGGATGTTACACGGAAGCTGGGAACAGTGGCTGGGGCCAGCCCTTCAATTTTTGGCAGATCTGGGCAGCTTACCTTTGGTCGTTCCAGCCACGGCGACCTCGTCCTACCTTTTGCGGGCCCGTATTCCAAATTTCGATGTGCGTTTAACTGCCCTGCGCGCCTCCTCCACGAGTTGACGGGCCCCCCTCTACGTCCAGCTGAAAGCAGCAAGGCATGTGTCAAGCGTCAGAGAGTCCGTGCGCGCCCGCGGCTCGGATCCTATGCACGCCGTAGCCCTGGAAGGCCCCGGAGCCCCCGAGACTCTAGAAGGAAGCTCCAGAGAGCCCCCCCGAGACCCCAACACAGCCGTGACGCAGTCCGACGCCCAGACATGCTCGCGTCGTAAAAGAAGTCAGGACGGGAGGTTTTTGCCCGCTTTCGGCCTCAGGGGGCCTTCGCTGGGCCTCGGGACCGTCAACAAACGACTCAGGACGAAAAGCCGGCCCCGGGGAAAGGGTCGGGACTTCCAGAGGCCCTGTATGGAAAAAATCAGGACGTCGCATGTCTGGGCAAGCTTCCAGCAGAGCCCGAAATGTACAGGGCGGCCCAGAGACCCGCGAGACACCCGCCGCGCCGAGCGTGCGTCCGCCACGGTCCGCCCGCCGTTTTTGCAGCGCTGGGGGGGGCTCTTCGAGCTTCAAAAAACGTTCAGGAGGGAAAAAAGCACACAGACACAATGAATCGTCGATTCCCCCGAAAATATGGGAAAATATGGGAAGTGTGGGGGGGAAGACAAAAGCAAAGAAAATATGGGAGAATATGGGGGATCCTGTTATTTGTGTCTGTTTATTTGTGTATCCCAGGGCCCCTTCAAAGAAACGTGTCGGAAGAGTTTCTTTGGGCTCAAGTCTTCGAGCTCCCAGGGCTGGCACCTCCAGATTTTGCAAGCCGCCCAGAAAACTAGAGCCCTTCAACTCTGCCTTCGGCCACGCCCTGCTCGGCGATGCCGTGCCAGCTTGTCCTGAGCGTGCGGGAGCGCGCCGTGCCAGGGCTCAACCGCGGCTGGCGCACCCCGGACCCCTCGCCCACGCGAGACCCTGACGATGTGGCACGCCACGGTGTGGCCAGTTGGTCCAGCTATGAAATGACAGAGGCCTCTGAGATCCTCGACGCGGACGCCTCCGACAGCAGCACCCACCAGGCCGAGCGCGCAGCAGGCACCGTCCACGCCTGTGAGATCGTGGGGGCCGGCAATCCCTCGGGCCAGGACTTCGACCGCTTGGACGTGGCTTGGGCGCGCTTCCGCACGCCGTCCCCTGAGGCTCGCACGCTGGCGCCGTGCGCGCCGCTGGCGTGGCCGCAGGGCATTCCCTTCGGGCAGCAGGTGCTGGCCCCTGCCGGCCAGGCGGGGGCCGTCCCGGACACGCCCCACGCCCACATCCGCATGCCGTCCCTGGAGGCCCGCGCGTTGGCGCCGCGCGCGCCATGGGCGTGGTCGCAGGGCGTGCCCGAGAAGCCCCAGCAGATGCCGTTCGGGGAGCCCCGTGTGGAGCCGCCGCCGCCGCCGCCGCCGCTCCCGCCGGCGCATGCGGCCGGCGCGGCGCTGCGCGGCCGCGCGGGTGTCCAAGAGCCCAAGACCGCCATGGCGAAGCAGAGGTGCCCACCGCCGGAGCGCACGGGCATGCCGCAGGAGCTCGGGGGGGTGCTCAGCGTCGGGTCCGTGGGCCACCCCTACGCGTGCGAGGCCGCCTGCAAGTTCGTGCGCAAGAGCCGCGGGTGCAAGCTCGGGGCGGACTGCAGCCGCTGCCACGCGTGCGTCTGGAACCGCTACGAGGCCAACCGGGCGGCAAGAAACGTGGGTGGCTGCCCGCCCTGTCCGGTGGTGCGTTGACATCGCCGGTGCCTCGCAGAGGGGTGGGTGTGGGACGGGACCGAAGGGGAGTTGGGGGGCAGTCTGGAGGGCAGCCTGGGGTGGACATGCTGGCACCTAGCCACGGCTAGCACCATCACGCAGCGTATACCTGGTCCCAAATCCCGACATGGCCTCCCCCCACCCCGCCCTTCCCGATCCCTCCTTTCCCTGCTCCTCATCTTCCCACTTTCGCGCTGCCATGTCGTCTGCGGAAGTCGCTTGTCGTTGGTGCGAAGCAGTACATCCATGCGATGCAAGACACCCCATGCGGCGTCTTTTTTCAAGCTTGATGCGCCGCGTGCTTCCTGTGATCCTTCTCTCTTGTGGAAGTGTGGAGCAGCGATTGGACCAAGCATCTTCCCCCTTTCGCGTTGCCACGTCTTCTGTAGGAGGCGCTTGTCGTTGGCAGTCGGAGGGGACTGAGCGCGGCAGGCCGAAGAGGCTGCGTGGTGGGTTGGAGACTCGCTGGACGGTGATTGGCATCGGCCACGGTGCGCGATGGAAGCGCAAAGTTGTCATGTTTTTTGTTTATGTGTTCTGAGATGGCCTTTTGCAAGCAATATTCTTCCAGTGGTGGTCGGCGCGAAGCTAGACACCACTTGCGGCTAATTTTGTTCTACCTTCATGCGCCGCATGCTTGCAGTGACCCTTCTCTCTTGTTTAGGTGTGGAGCAGCGACTGGACCAAGCTTCTTCCCACCTTCGCGTTGCCTCGTCGTCTGACGTAGGTGCTTAACTTGTCACCGTTGGTCGGAGGGGACTGAGCGCGGCAGGCCGAAGAGGTTGCGTGGTGGGTTAGAGACTCGCTGGATGGTCCTTGCCATCGGCCACGGAGCGCGATGGCAGCGCGCGTCGGGACCAACACATGTACATACATAATGCACGGCTGTCCTGCAAACTTGACGTGTGTTTTTGTGAGATACTTTTTTGTTCGACTCTGCGGGGCTGCGCGGCAGGCCGAAGAGGTTGCGTGATGGGTTGGAGACTCGCTGGACGGTCGTTGGCATCGGCCACGGTGCGCGATGGAAGCGCGCATCGGTACCAACACATGTACATACATTATCATCTCAGCGGGTGCCTGGATATACTGCTTGTTTAGGTGTGGAGTATCGAGCAGACCAAGCATCTTGTCACTCTGCGGCACATCTGGTCAAGCTTGCGCTGCGCTCGTTCCGAAGAGCCTGGCGTGTGGAATGGAGCGGTGCCCGCCCACGGGCGCCAAGTCGGCGACACGCGCGCCCGCCACGTGCTTTGCGCCACGCGATTTGCACGACAGATGTTGCACCACATCCTTTACATCACATAGCTTACGCCACCTGTATTGCACTGCGCATCTTGCATCACGTCTTTCACCACGCTTCTTTTTGCAACACGTAACGTGCACCACAGCTTACGCCACATTGCGTACACCACCTAGCTTGCACCACATAGCTTGCACCGTATAGTTTGCACCAAACAGCTTGCACCACATAGCTCACAGCCCAACCAGCTGCTCTCTCTCTTCTTCCTCCTCGCTCCTTGTGCTCCCAGCTCCCTCGAGTATTTTTAGACTTCGCCGGTGTGGGGGCCACCGATTTGCGGCACAAAGCCGCCATATACCTTGCAGTACAACAGGCCACCGCAGTGTCAATGGCCAGTTCCCCACCGCGAGGAAGGGGACTTCACCATGCAGAGCGCCAGCCCTGGAGGGAAGGAGGAGGACGAGGAGGAGGGAGAAGAGCAGGACGAGGAGTAGGGGAAGGAGGACGAGGAGTAGGGGACGAGGGAGTCATGGAATCATGGAGTCATGTAGTCATGGCTCCAGGAAGTGCGCGGTGCACACCGCACGCAGCCGGGCCGCAATGGCAGGCAACCGGCATCCCCAGCCTCCCCGGGAGGTTGGGGATGCCAGTTGCCGGAGTGACCCTTCGCTTGAGTGACCCTTCGCCGGAGTGACTTTTGGTGCTGGCCCAAAGGGGGTCAAGTGATTCTTAGGCTTACGCCACACCGCCGACCCCTTGTTTATGCCAATCTGGGGGTAGTAGAAGCTGCGAAGGGGTGAAAAGGCGAGTGATACTTGTTTGGTGTCTGTTCGCCGCCACCGCCAGAGGGTCTCGGGCAGTTCCGCGGGGGGGTCCGAGCGGACGGCGACACCGCGAGTTTTGGAGCCACTTGGGGGCCGTTTCGGAGCCTCTGGGGTGCTTCTTGGGGGTTCCTTGGGGCGTCTGGGCGGCCTCGTGAGGGCCTCTGGGGGCCTCTTGGGGCACTCTTGGGGCCCCCTGGGGCTCCTGGGGGCAGAAAGCTAGAGTTTCAACATGTTTGGTCGCCCTCTTGGGCCCCTCTTGGTGCCGTCTTGGAGCCCTCTTGGGCCGTCTTGGGGACCTCTTGGGCCGTGTTGGGGCCGTCTTGGGCCGTCTGGAGGCCGTCTTGGGGGCCTCTTGGGCCATCTTGGGGCTGTCTTTGGGGCCTCTTTGGCCGTCTTGGAGCGTCGGGAAGCCGAAAAGGCGGAAAAGCAAAAAACATAGAAAAACACTATGGAAAATCAACAATTTTAGACTCTTGGGGCCCTCTTGGGAGGCTTGTTTGGGACCTCGGGGGCCGTCTTGGAGACCTCTTGGCCCGTCTTGGGGCCATCTTGGGCGTCTTGGAGCGGTCGTTTGGCGTCTCGGGGCCTTCGTGGGCCGTCTTGGAGGCCTCTTGGGGGCTTCTTGGCCCGTCTTGAGGCCCTCTTGGGCCCGGAAAAGCCCCGTGAACCGCTCGTCCCGGCCGTGCTGCGCTCGTGCCGGACCCCCCCCCCCCCTCCAAATCGACCGGACCGGGCTCCCGGGGGAGGGGTTTGGGGAGGGGGAAGCATCTCACACGCCGATGATCCCCAAGGGGTCGGCGGATTTTGGGGAGGGCACCTCACCCGATCCATGGATTTGGCGACTGCGCGCGCCAAATACATGGATCGCTAATCCATGTTTGCGCGCCCCCGAATGTCAGAGGAGACAAGAGGGAAACATCGCAGACACGAGTACTAGCAGATAGTCTATTCTCAGGGCGAACATCCAGGGCTAACAGTCGAAGAAGAAAAGACGCCATGAGCATGAACTTTTTTTTGCGCTCGACGCGGATTTCTTGGATCTGCGGGGCGCCCTGGCGGCGCCTCCAGCGCCGCCCCTGGCGCGTTCCGCTCGCCAGGGAGGGGGCCAGTGCAGATCTAAGAAATCTGCGCGGACCGCCAAAAGTTTATTATGCAGTTTCCTCTCTTCCTCTACAATGGAGGCCCATGCCAATATATACCCTGCTTGCCGCCAGGGTGCCCTGGGTTTCTTGGGTCTCGATCGTGTTGTTGCGGGAAGCGTGACGTTCCCACGAGATGGGGTCCTGGGGTCTCAGGGTTGGGTTTCTTGTGGAAGGTCTCTTTTGGTGGGCTCCTACTGTGCGGGAGGGGGGAGAGTCAGAGGAGCCAGGAGGAAAACATCACAGACACAACTAATAAGATTCTATAGGCTTACGCCACATTCGCCGACACCTCCATAAACTACTGCGCGTCCAGAACTGCATTCCACAAGGCTTGTCCGATTCCTGGGAGGTTCTTGGGGGCGTTTGGGGGCTCTGCTCGGGCTCCCTGTGGGCTTCTTGGGGCGCGTTGGGGGCTCCTTGAGGCAACCTGGGGGCGTCCTGGGGCCGAAGGCTGGAAATGTGGGTTCGGGTTCCCCCCGTGGACCCCCTTTTGGCGCCGTCCGGGGGCCTTCTGGGGCCGTCATCGGGGCTTCTTTGGCGGTCTTGGGACCCTTGTTGGCCGTCTTGGAGCTGTCCTAGTCCCAGGGGTCTTTGGGGCCGTCTTGCACGGTATGCAAGCGCAAGAGACGAATATGTTTAAAACATACGTTATCCTGAGGGAATGTGGCAAATTTCACTTCTTCGGTGCCTTTTGGGAGGCCTCTTGGAGGACTCTTGCGGCGTTTTGGAGGCATCTTGGGCCGTCTGGATGCCATCTTGGGCGTCTTGGAACGATCATTCGACGATTCTGGGCCCTCTTGGATCGTCTTGGGGCCCACTTGGGGCCCTCTCGGTCCGTCTTGGGGCCCTCTATGCTCGCATGGCGCGTTCGTCCGGGGCCGGGGGGGGTCAAATCTGCGGTTTGGGGTCCTTGGGGTGGGAAAGGGGGGGGGGAACAATCTCACACGAATAGAGACCCACAAGGGGTCGGCGGATTGCGTTCCTTAGGTTTGGGAAAAATTTGAGCCTCTCAGGAGCGCCCTGAGGGGGCTCCGTGACCATTCGTAGACGTTTTGGACAGTCTCGGGGACTCTTGGACACATCTCGAAGGCCATCTTGAGCCATCCTCAACTATCGTGTGCCATGTTGTTGGAGGTCATCTGAAGCCATTCAGGGCCATCTTGGACGCTCTGACTACCCGCGAAACCCTCCGTCCAGATTCAGGTAGGGTTGGGAAGGATAAAGCTTTTATTTTCCGAAGTAGAATGTGGGTACGGTTAGAAGAGGAACCGCTCTAACCCATCTCCGTCCACCAGTTTGGTGGGATTTTGAACATCGTCACGTGCAGTACCCATCTGTACGCGGTAAATTCCGCCATCTTTGCAGGGTTGCATCGAGGTGGCTTGGGGATTACTGAGGCACTGTTCGAGTGTCCTGGAACCGTCTAGCATACGTCTTGAGGCCGCCCCGGGTCTGTCCTGGGAAGTCTTGGTGCCGTCTGGCCGCTTTGTGCCATCTGGGGGCCGCGCGGGGCCTCTCGGAGGCCGTTTGATCGGCTTCCTGCAGGCGCATAGCGGTGTGAAGCCGAAGCCATGTGCAAAACAAGTGTTTTAACATGCGTGGGGCATATCAGAGGCTTCTTCCTGAAAAATCACGTGCAGGGCGTTTTGGGGATCTTTCCGAGCCTCTTGAACACCTCCTAGAGTTTCTCGGGATTTGCGTGGGCCCTCTTGGGGCGTATAGGAGGGTCATTAGGCCGTCTTGGAAGTGTGTTGGGCCCCCCTTACCCTTAGGCTATCTTATTTATCTTTGGAGTGTATTTGTCAGTCCTAGGGCAGTTGAGGACGGTCGGAAGAAGGCGGGGGGACACTGCCAGCGGGCAGGCGCGGTCAAGAGGAATGGGTCCTCAGAAATCTCAGGCATCCCGAGAACGTTCCACCACGTGCCAGAGGACATTGTGATGGACATGCAGTGTTCTGGAACCCGTCGTCCAGGAATTTACAAGCTCAAGGTCGTTTGAGCTCAGGTGTTGGTTCTATCAGGGCCTGTTCCCACCTTCTCAGGAGCAGGGCGTGGACAGTTTTGCCGCTGCGCCTTCGCGACTGCCACCGCGAACCTGGCCAGGTTGCGATGAAGTTGTTCAGCAATCTGCGAGGACCACGCAGCTGGTCAAAAGAGAAGCGGCGCATGCATCCGACAGAGGAAAGCCAGAATGGGTCACAGGAAACGCTGTCGACTTGCCCGGCAGAATCTGGCGTATCCTCTGACGGCCATTGCCAGCACGATGAGCGGAAGAGCGCGGCCAGCGAGACAGGAGTTATACCCAGAGCTTTGGCCCGACATCCTAGCATCAGCAGCAACGACAGCACGGGGAGCCGGAGACCCGCGGCACAAATGATAATGAATCACATGAAGTCCGTACGGGAGACTTTGCCGACGTTGAAGCCGGGCATGGTCGTGACCACAAAGAGTGCACGGGTCAACATGTTGGTCGTTCGTAACACCAAGGAGTGGTCAGAGGGGGACGTGGACGGCGGCGTGGGCAAACCTGGGATAATATTTGCCATCGATGTAGTCGCAGGGGATTGCACGGTTTATTGGTACGAGTCTGGGCAGGTCAACAATTGCAGCATCGGCAGGACGGGCGTGCTCTGCAAGCCGTGCGGCGCCATCCCGGGGTCGCTTGGAGGGGACGACGGATTGGCGAACGTAGGCACGGTTCACTCCGCCATGGAGGCAATGAGGACTGTGCTCGGGGGCCGCGCTAAGAGAGGACACCAGACGGAAACACCAGTCGAGCCGTTTACTCGACACATCTCGCCGTTTGGCCGGAAGATCTCGTACACGCAGTACGCGGAGAAGACGCAGACGGCAATCATATTCGATTGGGACGACACGATGTTCCCAACCACATACGTCAAGCACGATCTGGGCCTCTCCATCAATCATAGTCTGAAGGACCAGGCGCTCAGTCCCCGGAAGATGGTACGTGTCCGGACCGCTCTAGCGAGAGCCGCGTGCGCCGCCGGACGGCTCCTCCGGTTGGCGGACGAGCGCGGGAAGGTCGTCATAGTGACTTTGGCCAGGAGTCCGTGGCTCACCGATTCCTGCAGGAATTTCTACCCTGGGATGGGCGAGCTCATCAAGAAGCTCGGTATCCAGATTGTGTACGCGCGGGATAGGGAGTAGATTGAGCACAACAAGGTGACTTCGATGGCCGAGGATCAATTCGAGACGTTCTGGGCCGAGACGAAGGTTAGATCGGGTCAATATGGCACACGCGACCAGGGCAATCTAGGTGAAACAATATCAAGCAATTCTGTTGGGGGATCTCCGAGTTGTATGTGGGCATTCCCACAGTCTCCGGAAAATCTCTGAGATCTGAAATATCCAAGGAAATCTCTCGAAAATCTGAGGGCTACAAATCCCTGGGAAATTATATGAAAATCCCCGCGGGGCTGGAATCTCCTGAAATTCTCCAGGGAATTCTCCGGAAAGTCTCCGGCGTGCAGAAATCTCGGGAAGAACTCCGGCAAATCCATGGCAAATCTTAGGCGTACATAAATCTCCAGAACATCGATTGAAGTTGTACGGAAAAATGTCTGGCGAAGATTTCGTTGGGGATGTCTACGGCGCCAAGATTGTTTGGAGATTCGTTGGAAGATCTTAAGGCGCGAGGTTATTTGGGGATTCGCCAGAAGGTTTTTACGGTGCCACGATTTGTTTGAAATTTGCGGGGAGATTTGATGGAGATCGGAGATTCGCTGGAAGATTTGTTTGAGATTCCAGGGCGGTCGTGTTTGCCATCATCGATCCAGTCTGAAACGCAGGGCAGGGCCATCTCCAAGGTTCTGAGCGACTTTTATTCCCAGTACGAGGGGCAGTCCTGGAAGAACATCCTATCCGTGGAGGGCTCACACTTTGAGCGGTACGGCACGATGGCCGCGACGATGCAGTATGCTGCAGTCCAGGGCCTGGCTAACGAGGAAAACGGAAGAAAGAAAGACCGCATAGACATACATGTTCGAAGGTCCCTGCGGACCTCCGAAGGTGTGTTGGTTTTTGCAGGGTTTCTTCCTCCAGGAGATCTGCCTGGGCAGTCTGCAGGCGACGGCGAGGGCGTGCGAAGGCTCGAAGGGGTCCACGCGGTCGTCGCTGTCTGTGTCGAGCGTGAAGAGCCTTGAGAGCAGGGGCAGTGGGAGGCGAATGTCGTGGGAGGGAACCGTCGGCGGCTACCAGGTCAAGGTCAGGACGAAGACCTTCAGGATGCTGGGCGATCCGACGGAAGAGGAGCTCATCCCGAAGAAGAAAACCCGGCACAAGCACAAGCACAACTTTTCGAGGGGCCACGCGGATTTTTTGGTTCGTCGTTGGCCCCTTTAGCGGCGCCTCCGGCGCCGCCCCTGGCGCGGTCCGCGCGCCACGGAGGGGAGTCCAGCGCCGATCCAAGAAGTACCTGCGGACCTCCGAAAGTTGATGCTCGTGCCGTTATTTCTGCTTCTGTCATCGTGCAGATGAGTTTGATGTTTCGGTGGCTCCCTCTGATGGTGGAGCTTGACGAAGGCTTCGACGTCAATCTCAACAGCCTCGACGGCGAGGCGGCGTTCGATAAGGTCGAGAGCACGCTGTTCGGTCTCAAGGACTGAGGAAGCGTGTTGTGTGTATCAGCAACGTGTGGGCCCCTACCAGCAGGCAAATTCAATACGTCTTTGTTAGAATAGTCTGCTGCACTGCGCGAAATGTGCCTCGGTTCCGAAACCCATAGTTGTGGGTGCTCACTAAATGGGAGGTTCTCGTTGGTTGCCGTCATACAAAGGTTAAGTTGTGGAGTGTTCCCGGGTTGCCCGGCCGGTGCAGGGGGGCATGGTTGTGGTAAGATCGAGTGTTGTTCGAAGGTCCCGCGCGTCGAGACACCCTCGAAACTTCAAGCTGAGCAGGCCCGTTTCGCTTAAGACAGCGTTCCAAGTCCTCGCAATTCTGATCAACTGCTGAGGAGGAGTGCGAAGAGGAGGAGGAAGAGGAGGAGGAGAAGGGGGAATGAGGGGGAGGAGGAGGAACGTAGGAGAATGATGATGATGAGGAGGAGGAGGAATAGGAGGATAAATCATAGTGCTCGCAGTCAGACAAGTACTTGTGTTGTCGATGCTTTCCATGCAATCCTCGTCGCCAAGGCTAGACTAGACTCGGCTCGATCGTGACTTGTGATACCGGCTGGTGTTCTGCCGGCGAAGTGTGTTCACAGGCCTGTTCGCGCCCAAAGTGCGGGGATGTCTCGAATGGCCGGTTTGGGAGGTGGGCGTGTGTGTTATCAGAATTACATGGTCCTCGCTGCCCACTTTGCGTTCTTTGAGGCTGTTCTGGACCCCTCCAGGGCTTTCCTTGGCTGGCGGGGGGGGGGGCAGGGCACCTGAGCCCGGGTGCCTGGGTCGCCAGGGGCAGCCCCGGGCGACCCCGGCAGACCCCACGGCGGTGCCAGGGACGTGCCAGGGAGGGATTGCCTTCAAAAGAGCTCGGTGCATGCCCCACAGAGGCTCTGGCCCGTTTCACCTCAGACATCCTCGGAACCTTGGGTTCCAGGATGCCTTGACTTGAGATGTTCTGGCCCGTTTCACCTGAGACATCTTCACAACTCTGTCTTTCAAGATGTCATTGTTGAGGTGCTCATGCCTGTGTCGCCTGAGACATCCTCGGACTGCCTCGGAACCCTTTCGAGATGCCCTGACGTGAGGTGCTCTGGCCAGTTTAGCCTGAGATGCCCTCACGACTCTGCGTTTCACGATGGAGGCATCTTCGGAATCCCTTCGAGATGCCCTGACTTCTGTCAGGTGCTCTAGCCCATTCATTCCGCTTGAGACATCATCCCAGCTCTTGGTTCCAAGATGCGGTTCTCGAGGTGCTCAGGCCCGTTTCGCCTGAGACATCCTCGGAACCCCGGGCTCCGAAATGCCCTGACTTGGGACACTCTGACCCGTTTCGCCTGACACATCTTGGGGTCCTCGGATCTATGGGTCCGATCGTCAGGGCCGCGCGATTCGGGGGATGCCAGCCCGGCTTCAGGCGCAAAGGGGGCCTGGTGGTTTTTAAGCGTGATCTTTTTCAGCTCCAGACTGGATGATTCGGCGGGCTTTCGGCCCTCCGAGGGTTTCATGCGTCTCTCTCTCTCTCTCGCTCTCTCTTCTGTGTGTTTTCGTTCGTAGCGCATTCCTCTTCCTCCTCATCCTTCTCCGTCTTCCTCCTCATCCTGTTCCCGATCATCCTCCTCTTCCTCCTCCTCCTCCTCCTCCTCGTCCCCCTCCGCCTCCTCCCCCTCTCCCCCTTTTCTGAAGGAATGCCAGAACTTTGGGAAAACCATTCTGGAAAAACCAAAAAAACCAAAGAAACCTAAGTGGTGGAGACGGAAAGTTTAGGAAACCCATTGGAAAAAACAAAAAAAACAAAGATTCCACAGAGAGTGCGGGGAACACCCGTCCGAAGGGACACGTCCAAAGGGAATCCCCGCACTCTGTGGAATCTTTGTTTTTTTTGTTTTTTTTAGTTTTTCCAATGGGTTTCCTAAAGTTTTCGTTTCCAGCACTTAGGTTTCTTTGTTTTTTTTTGTTTTTCCTATGGTTTTCCCAAAGTTGTTGCATTCCTTCAGAAGGGGGGGATGGGGGAGGAGGGGGAGGAGGAAGAGGATGGAGAGGAGTCGCAGGGAGGAGGTCGCGGGAGGGGTTCGTACCTGCGGCGCTGAACCCTCCCTCTGTGATGCATTCCCACGGAATCCTGTTGAGAGGCCTTCCATGAGAATCCCTTTGGGGTGCTTTCCAAAGGAATCCTGTTGTGAGGCTTTCCAATTGGATCCCTCTGTTGTGCTTTCCAATGGAATCCTGTTGGGAGGCTTTCCAATGGAATCCCTTTGTGATGATTTCCAAAGGGTTCCTGTTGTGAGGATTTCCAAAGGGTTCCTGTTGTGATGGTTTCCAAAGGGTTCCTGTTGTGAGGATTTGTGTTCCAGCGCCATCCTCCCAACGGTAGCAGTTTGGATTGCGGCTTTCCAATAGAATCCCTCTGTTGCGCTTTCCAAAGAAACCATGTTGGGAGGCTTTCCAATGGAACTCCTTTGTTGTGCTTTCCAAAGGATTCCGATTGTGAGGCGTTCCAGTAGAATCGCTGTGTTGCGATTTCTGTAGGATTCCGAATGTGAGGCTTTCCTATAGAATCCCTCTGTTGTGCTTTCCAAAGGAATCCTGTTGAGAGGCTGTCCAATGGAACTCCTTTGTGGTGCTTTTCAAAGGGTTCCTGATGTGAGGCTTTCAAATGGAATCCCTTTGTTGCGCTTTTCAAAAGATTCCAATTGTGAGGCTTTCCCATGGAATCCCTTTTGTGTAGTTTTCCAAAGGATTTCCTTTGTGACGCTTTCCAATTGAAGCCCTTTGTAGCATTTTCCGAAGGGTTCTTGCTGTCAGGCTTTCCACTAGAATCCCTTTGGGGTGCTTTCCAAAGGGTTCCTGTTGTGAGGCCTTCCAACAGACTCCCTTCGGGGTGCTTTCCAAAGGAATCAGATTGTGAAGCTTTCCAATGTAATCCGATTGTGAGGCTTTCCCATAGAGTACCTCTGTTGGGCTTGCCAAAGGAATCCTGTTGAGAGGCTTTCCAATGGTACCATTGTGGGGCTTTCCAAACGAATCCTGCTGAGAGGCTTTCCAATAGAATCCTTCTGTGGCGCTTTCCAAAAGATTCCGATTGTGAGGCGTTCCAATAGAATCCCTCTGTGGTGCTTTCCAAAGGAATCCTGTTGAGATGCTTTCAAATGGAATCCTTTTGTAGCGCTTCCCAAATGAAGACCTGTTGAGAGGCTTTCCAATGGAACTCCTTTGTGGTGCCTTTCAAAGGGTTCCTGTTGAGAGGCTTTCACATGGAATCCCTTTGTGGTGCTTTCCAAAGGGTTCCTGTTGTGAAGGTTTCAAATGCTCTCGGCTAGGTGGGAGAAGGATCGGCGCAGGTTTGACGCAGGACAATGGAAACATGTAGAGAGACAGGGAGAGAGAGAGAGAGAGAGAGAGAGAGACGGAAACACATCGAGAAAAATAATGAGAGAGAGAGAGAGAGAGAGAAGGAGTCGTAGAGAGAGACTCGCATAGGTTTTCTTATTAAAAACAACACGCACAAAAACCACCAGGCCCCCTTTGCGCCTGGAGCCAGCCAGCCAGCCCACCCCAGGAACGCTCTTGGCGGGGCTGGGGTCGATACAATTCGGTTTTCTGTGGATCAGCGGCCTGTGCGAGCATGTGCGGACCGTGGCCTCCCTTGTCAGGGATTCTCGGGGGGCACATGTTCGTGACCCCGGTGTTACGCTTGAAGGTGATACTGAGGGAGGTCTTGCTGGGGTTGCCCCCGGTGCAGGAGAGAACCAGGGGCCAAGAGGCCGGCAACAGAACAAACGGGTGTTTTGATCCATTTGCCCCTTCACGACATGTATTGTTTCACTTGTCTCACCTTCTTGGCTGACGTACGGGGGCGGGGTAGGAGTTGGGGGACTCCCCCCATAGGGGAAAGGGGGGGGTGGAGTCAAAGCGAGTTCGCTAGACCACGCGCGCCCTAGATGGCGCGTTGGATGATTGCAGGCAGTCCCATCGCATAGTCATTCCGTATTTTTCCTAGGTCTCTCCAGCGTGAGACAAGATTTGGTTGTTCCTCAGCGGCATGGGCTCTATGAGCCGACAGCTGTCAATGCTGAGAGCACGACGCACGAGCGTGTACAGGGCGGCCAGCACCTGGTACCCCCTCGCATGGAGAAAAACAAATAAAACACGACAAGTATTGTTTCACTTGTGTCACGTGCTTGGCTGACGTACGGCTGCGCCCAGGAGCCTGCGCACATGCCCGTACCTGCTCTTTGCGGCAGACTTGGTGCATAATGTTTGAATGCTGCCCATTCTGGGGAGTCACGGAGTCATGGTTTTGAAATGTTGCCCCTTCTGGGGGCTCGGCTGCCAGGTTGGTGATATGCTGACAATAAGGAGAGGAGAAAAGACCACCTAAAGCATGGTCCTCCTCATCCCGTCCAGTCCTTATAGAGCTGCACGGATCCGCAGCGTCGCTATGCTCAGGGGGAATACCCTCCTGCCGCCTTTTGTGACACACTTGGCGAGCCATGGCCACGATCTGTTTCCCGTGCAGCACTCAGCCCCCGAGGGCCTCTGCGTTGAGAAGTTCGTTTGCGTAGGAACAGATAAGATACAGTTTTTCTGGAAAACACTTTTCAAACACTTTTTAAACACTTAGGAATGAGGACGAAAAATCGATAACATCAACGGTCAGTCTAGTGGGGGGACGCTGCCCATCGGAGTAGGGGGGGGGGCCTCGTGAAGGGCATTGTTTGGGAGGATTGGGAAGCGGCCTCGTGAAGGACAGCATCAGGGGGGGCTCGGACGGGCCCACAGTTTGACCCTTTATTGTTCACGAGCGAGGGGGGGCAGCAGCACCGATAAGCCCGCATCGGAGGCACGCGCGTGTATGGAATGCTTGTATGACCTGAA